AAAAAAAAAAAAAAAGAGGTGTATAATTATGATGCTTACAAATAATGAAGGCGTTCAAAACCCGCACTAGATCCTAAACCGGAAAGACCAAGAAGTTGCAGCCCCCTTGGGGTCAAGATGCCCCCAGATGGAAGAGGAACCTGCAGAAAAAGGAGTTTACATTAAAAAGATTTACCTAACATATCAGCTTTGAGTAAAGAACCAGGATCAAATGCAGACAAGCCTCACCCCACCCCCTTCTGATTCTGCCAAATAGTTTACAACTTCACGAAAAACTTCAATATCCTGAGGATACCTCTTGTAGTACTTTTCATTCTGACGAGCAACCTGCTCAAAGCAAGCTCCATAAACAGTATCTGCAGTGCATCCATCTCCAATTGGAGGTATTCCTCCAGTCAGAAGCACTTGTTTCAATCCTTGTGGTGCAAAACTCAAATAGGTGACAGCACAAAAACCTCCATAGCTCTGGAGAAAGAGTGAGAAAGGAGTAAAAACACAAAAAGTCATAAACTCACAGCATGCATACTGATTAACTGATCATCACTAGACGCTACTCATAATCATATGAAATGGTGAAATGCACAAACAAAGATGTCAAAATTGAACGGTAATTTTAATACCCGGCCCAAAACCGTCCAAGGTCCAGAACCACGAACAAGACGAACACAGATAAACTCAGCATCACTGACTATACTGTCAGCACGAAAATGTTTCAAGTAATCAGCCAAATCTCGGGCAGACTTAAATTGCAGCATAGATGATGTTGTCAGCGGAGTTGATAATCCTGTTCCTCTCTGAAAGAATAAACAAATCATCAACCCTCAATAACAACAAGCACAAGTACTCCATTTCATCAAATAAGCTTCAAGGAAACCATGCCTGATCCAGTAATATAACACGAAACTCCTCACAAGCTTTAAGTATCCATCCACTGCCTTCGGTTGGTCTCGGGGATTCAAAACCCGGTCCACCTTGCAGAAACAGGAGGTATGGCATTGGTTGATCTTCTTTACCAACCGCAAAACAATTCTACATTAATCGGCACATGTACTACCACTCTACTAATTTCATATGCTGAATATCCTCAATTCAGATTCCCCTTTAGTAGACTCATATGAGTTTTTTTTTTTTCTCTTCTTTTTTTGTGGAAAAAATACTAACTGCATTAACGGAATAGACAAGTCAGCATCCAAGTACACTGAAGAATCCAATTATTTCCAAGGACTAGAAAAATGAAAACCTAACATGTCCTGGAAAAATAAAAGCTAGGTTGACTTTAGCACTTCTACTTCGACATTCTGGGACCAATTCGAAAAAAAGAAAATGTAATCCGCGATATTTCAACATTAAACAGTGATTTAACAGAAATAATTCAACTTTAAGTTGATCGCAGGAGGTGGCTCCGTACCAGCAACGACTTCCCGAGCGAAAATGGAGATCTTTAAGGAAGTACCGGGATCTCTGTAATCCAGAGGAACAGTGAAACGGTGATCTCGGAGGCGGAGATCTGGTACTGAGTGCCACTGCCCGGTAGCGTGTTCCGGAAATGACTCGCCCGATGAATCGACTATGGGTGCTGCCATAGCAATTGTACGGCACGAGTTCCGGCGATAGTGGGGGTTGAGAAGTTTGATGGCCGGAGTTAATCGGTGAGACACAATGCGTGGAGATAACGAAGAAAGATTGCCGTACAATACAAGAGGTTTTATCCAGAGGGGTGGCGCGTGCATTACCAACATTTTTGGGAGAGTGAAGACATAGAAACGCGCATTTTGTCTCTAGAGATTAGATATTAAATTAAACTGTTGGAAATCACCGATGGCCCTCTCCTACTAAGTTTCGAAAATAACAAAAAAATAAATTAATTAAAATTAAGTGCTTAATGTGTTAGTATACTCGGGTGATATGGTATGGAGAAAAATAAAAATATTTTCTTATTTAATTATAAAAAAAATTAAGGAAGAAGAAGAGGAAGAAAGTCTTTTGTTTATTGTTTTATCATGTTATAATTGTTTTTTCTTTAAATTTGCTCCTTCAGCATTTAGTGTGTGACATTTGGCCATTATAATTTTCATATCAACATTAACAAATTACTCTCTTTATCTAAAAATAATAATTATTTTTTAAATTTGCTACTTAAGCATTTAGTGTGTGACGTGTGACCATTATAAATTTCATATCAACATTAACAAATTACTCTCTTTATCTAAAAATAATGATTATTTTTAAATAAA